AACAGTGGTATCAGAGCCTTTTGGTTGGTGTTGTTAATACACAAAGTTATTCGTGTTTACGGGTACTATTCACCTATACGACATTATTCATAAATATATTAAAAAAAAACCATGTTCACTTATTTTTCTTTTATTCTTCTCAAATTTACTATTATGAGGAAATTGTTTTATTATAAAATATGACTGAATTAGAAGCATATATTTTCTAGTTAAATGCCATTAAGAAAATTTCTTCTTTATTTTAATAATTTTTATGAAATATTAAAATTTTAAATATATTACTTTAAATTTTTCCGGGATGACCCATAAAACTCGAGACCCGGCTCCTTGACCACGTCATTACCTGGATCGGGTTTAATAACTATGATTGAGTTAGAAACAACACAATTTAACTTTATCGTACTATAAAAAATAATACAATTTAATTATATCATGCTAAAAAATTAGCACAGTTTAACTATATCATATTATAAAAACTCAATATTTATTAAATATTATTATTATTATAAAGTGCATTAACTATCATATTGCACTTAAAAATAACAAGATTTACTAAGTATCATACTATTACGAAGGGCGTCAACTAAATATAATACTTTCAAAGCGCGAAAATATTACACTCTGATATTTCACCGAAATGTATTTTTTGCTCCACATCAATTCCTCATTTTTAATTTTTTATTTCGTGGGTGCTTGTGTGAGAGTAACGGAATAGCGGAAATCATACCCTTGACGGGCGTCAAAATGTGGACGCCGGAATCTTGATTTCTGAACCGGCACGTTGGTAATGGTAGATAGGCTTTTCGCTTTCTGTAAAGGAGATAACATATCATGTGATTTGTTACATCTTTTAGCCTTTTGTTGTTCAAAGATAGCGGGTAGAATATAGACAGGCAGCTCTCTAATAGCCTGCGAGGGAGCATCAATTTCATCGGCCTAATTCACAGTACATATCTTGACTGTGTGAGGGAAGAAATCCTTGAATTTGCACATGGACGGCCCATATCGAACGTCGTTATGCCACCCACCTCCATGAATTTCTCACTCCGAAGCTGCTTTTCAATCCTCGGTTTGCACGCTTCTTTCACCGATTGGTAAATACCCCGAGAGGCTGCCAATTAAGCTTGAAGATGACGTTTGATGGCCATTCGAAAAAAGTTCATAAACAAAAGCAGATTACTTGTTTATGCTAAATAGATCCCAAGTGATGGGATTTAGATGCTCACATGAACACCAACACAACCTTTTGATGAGAAATAGCGAGCACAAGATGTCATTATTCTACTATACTGTGCAAAGTATGTAATAATTGAGGGTTAGTTTAATTTTCTACACTAATAATAGACCAAGTTGATATATATTTT